TTATATTTTTTATGGTCTGACTGCCCGACGAGCCCTGTCCAGGGCTTGACCTGTCCGGTGGGGGGACTTTAGCCCCCCCGTCCCTCCGTGGGCGCTGCCACTGCTAGTACCCTACATCTCGTCAATGATGTTTAAAAATAAAGGTCAATTAAAAAAATAATAATGCTCTGCCCTAGCAACGTCTAATGACAGGGGAGGCGCCAGCAGAGGGGGCCGGGGGGACAGGTTCCCCCTGTCAGAGAGGGCTGGCCTCCACCTTCGGCAGGCTTCCAAGTTCCTGAAGATTTTGTTGTGCAGGACATACAGATGTTTGCGACGCATGTTTGAAGTCTCACACATCTTCTCTTTGTAAGAAACTTAACTCTATTGTCTATCTTCTTGCACGAACCTCACAATTTACTAATGATTCTACCCTTCAAATACTTTAAAATTTAATTAATTTGCTTATGTTAATGATAAAGTTTAATTTTTATACTTATGTTTTAATTGTATGTACTGAGGGTCCCAATTGATCAGCTCAGGCTGGATGGACCACCCTCACAAAATATTGTTGAAATAAAAAATAAAAAAATAAAATGTGCTACCTAAAACGCATGTGTACAAATGTATCGCCTTGTTCAATATAAAAACATACAGGCTTGGGCAGGTTAAGGTGGTATCCGATCATTTCGGTCGCGCCTGCATTTCGGTCGCGCTATTTTGGTTATGCATTTCGGTCGCGGTGTATGGCATGGCCCGACCACGCCCACTTTTATTTCGTCGGGCACCTCGGACCCTCCAGACGCCACCATGCTCGATCATTCCGGCCGCCGCGCCAAATGTATGGAACGCCAAAGAGGCCACCGAATACACAACACCAGGCCTAGGCTAGACAAATGAAGTTTTCGTCGGGAAATACTAAATAGTTGAAATTGGGTGTTAAAAATGTAAAATGGACCTAATTGTTCTCACAACAGGCCCACCAGATCAAAGTGTTACCTGCTGTGTTACCGGCAGGCATGACCTTAAACTTAAGTAGGTAGGAAGCTAACAAGGTTGGCCCGGCGGTCGCCCGACTAGACCCATCCATCTGTAATGCCCTAGGGCTAGGCCCAGGCCTATATGCGCTATCTAGGGCCTAAATAAAAAGGGCCTAGGCCTAGCCTAGGTAGGCCTAGCATATAAAAGCCTTACTTAGGCCTAGGCTTATTTTTAGTTCAACAGGTCTTAGACTAACTATTTAACTCCTGATATGTTAACACATAATTGATTTTCGTTACAATTTATGTTTGAAAAGTGTATCTTTCTGCCCGCTTCTCTGCAGACAACCAGAGCCAGTTCATTCCTTCCTTCTTTTGTATTTCACGGTCGCTGGTTCATGGTGTACTGATAACAAGGTTCAAGGTCAGGATTCCCTTTGCAAAATACAAGAATCTGATTGGCCAGGCTCAAAGGGATATTCCAGACAACCTCACATGACTCTTATCAGGTGACTTGGGTAGTAAACAATATGTTGCTCCACTCTCGGAGAGCGAGGAATGAAGAATTCCTCATCTTATTGATTCCTGCTTAAAAATTTCTTAGTAAGTAAGTAAGTTCACTAGGTTTTTTGAGGAAATTAACCGTAGCAACAAAATAATTATTTAATTATTGCACTTATTAGAATATCAAATGAGATGCAAGAAGGGAAGGTAGGCTGTAGTTAGTCAAAGGCCCTGACTAGGGTCTAGCTAAGAATAACTTCAGACAATGTCGGATCCGAATCTCTAGCTCAGCTCAGCAACTAGACAACTCGTGTCAAAGACTCAACCTAAAGTCGGATCACAAAACCAACTTAAAATTAATAAATAACAGTTTATCTGACAGTCTTACAACACTTCTAACTTGTCTAGCTTGGGGCCGGGAAAAAAAGCTTTTTTTTTTTTTTTAATGATATTATATTCAAGTCAGCTGTAGGCAGTGATTCATTTGCTTAAGCTGCCGCGACCATTTTTCTGAATTTAATTTGTTATTTTGGTCAAATAAACAAAACAAAACATTGTTTTTTTCCCCGTTTCAGATATGGCCGATGAAAAAACATCATTATTTGGGGAATCTCAATACAACAGTTCAGCATCAGAAGGCAATAAAACATACTGTTGTAATTATCGCCTATATATATACTGTGATATAAAAGGTACCGAGTGGAGCTTACCTTATCC